CTTTATGGAATTACTGCCTTGTAGCCAGTATTCAGGCCTTCTTCCCCGTGGTTATTTGTAGAAAAGACCCAGGCAATTGGAAAACTCATGATGTGAGAAAACAACACAAACAGCCAGTGAGGACAAGAGGGCATCTTAAATTATTTTAGTAAATCATTAACAAACACTGAACATTTAGGATATTACTCTGTTTTTAATTTGTCACAGAATCATTTGAGTTGGAAGGAAAATTTAAAGGTCATGGAGTCCAGCTGTGATGCACAGGGACACCCACAGCTGCAGCAGTGCTCAGAGCTCCATCCCCTGACACTGTCTGTCTGCAGGGATGGGGCATCGCCACCTCTCTGTGCAACCTGTGCAGTGCCTCACTGCCCTTACTGCAAAAAATGTCTTCCTTATATCCAGTCCAAATCTTTTCTCTTTTAGCTGGAAACCATTTCCACTTGTGCTGTCACAGCAGAGAAAGCTAAGGAGTCTGTCCCCTCCCTTCTCTCAGTCCTGTAGATACTGACAGGCTGCTCTCAGCTCTCCTCCATGCTGCACAACCCAGCTCTCAGCCTGTCCTCGCAGGGAGGTGTTACATCCCTTGGTGCATTGTTGTGGCCCTCCTCTGGACATGTTTAGAACTGTAATAAGCGAGTACATTGATGGCAGTTATCAATTAGCTCTCTTCTCCTTGTTTCTGACTAGTGCAAATAACTTTGCCATGAAGGGGAAGAGGAAAACACTGAATGCTGGTGATGTTCTCTCTGCCATGGAGGAAATGGAGTTTCAGCGATTTATAGCCCCTTTGAAAGAGTCCCTGGAAGGTATTGTCCTCAGATCCTATTGAGGGAACTTCAGTAGCACCAATTTTTTTTGAACGTCAGACAAGCAACATTTACTTGCCTGTCTTGTTTCTTGTTCTCTTTGTCCATTATCTTACACTGCAGTTTTCGTGGAGATTAATGATGTGTACCTTAACAGGGCTGGGATAACATTTCACAGCTGGTGAGAGCTGAGAAAGTCTTATCTGATATCAATCCCATATTATGTTTATCTAAGGAAAGTCATAGGTGTTGCCTGCAAATATGAAATCCTGTGTCCTTTTCAGCTTTTTTCTGCTGAAACTTAATCTGATTTCTCATGGATGGGGCTGGTCAGCACAGCTCTCATAATAGGGAGAGTTGCTGCTATGAGTTCAGCAAGTGGACACTGGGCCCCAACTGCTGTAATGTTCACATGGTGGAAACACTGGCTTGCAGTTTTTCACTGTTCTTTTTAGTTTACAGACGTGAACAGAAGGGAAAGAAAGAAGCGAGGAAAGATAAAGACAAGAAGGCAGACTCGGAGGAACAAGATAAGAGCCGAGAAGATGATAATGATGATGATGATGAAAGGATGGAGGAAGAAGAGCAAAATGAGGAGGAGGAGGTGGACAACTGAGCTTGCCAATGGGACATAACAGGGTTGGGTTTTTGTTACTAGGGTTATAAATGTTGTAAAGAAATCTTGCTGTGTCCCCTCTGGTTTCCAGTAGAGCTCCTTACTGTTCTTCTGGAATCTCTCTTTGGCTTTAGCATGTACATAAAGGACTTGGCTAAAGCGTTTCTCATGGGTGCTTCACCTCCTCCCTGTGTGCAGGGGACTTGGCAGCTTCCCCAGGTGCTGAACAGACAGTAATGGGTCTGGTATTTTTATGCTGGATTAACTCTGAAGCAAAGGGAAAGAAGAGAAATGTCAGTTGCCTCAATACAGAAAAGACCTGGAGAACATGAAAAAACTTTTGAATAAGCTCATTAAACCAACCGAAGATCTGAATCCTGGTTCCTTAACCCTTTGGGGTTTACAGTCTACGTGATGATGTTAAGAGCCTTAGAAGCTGACTGTTTAAGCTTTTTATCCAAGTGATGTTTTTTCCTTCATTTTCTTGCATTCTGGCTGTGCCTTCTCTTTCCTGCTCTTTCAGTGATACTGCCAGCTTCACCAGCTGCATGCAGCTCACCTGTACAAGGGCCAGTGGTTCCCTGAACTGAATTCCTCCCCTAAATGAACCAGAATAAAAAATAAAAATAAAAAAAAAAATAAAAAAAACTTCATAGCACTTGCAAAGTAAACTAATTACCACAAGTGCTTGTTTTGTGTCTTTAAAGCCCTCAGAGACAAAGAGGGATTTGTATGAAAAATCTGAAGAAAGGCTAACTGGAAAATTGTGTCTGAGGAACAAGAAAAAATTGTGTCAAGTGTGCTGCAGCTCAGCAGTGGGCAGCAGTGGCTCTGATGGTCTCAGCTCCTTCCTCTGCAGAGCTGCAGTTTCTGCAGACAGGTTGGTGATTGCTGCAAGTGTTAGAATAGTGGTGGCTTTTGGGTTGGGTGGTTTTCTGAATTACTTTTTAAGTCACTCAAGATGTGTGGCCTTCCTTGTGATACTGTGGGCTCCGGGGATGCAGGGAGGACAGCACAGTCCTCTGTAGGAAGGCCAGCTTCAAACCTGTGCTGTTAAAATTGCCTCTGTGAGAAAGATGGGGTTAAACCAGCTGAAAAATTACCTGTTAGAATAAGCTTATTTTTTGGACACAGTGCTTTATTATTTGACTGACCTTTTTCAAGACTAATAAACCTAACATTTAGACTTAACTGGAGTCTGGTAAAGGAAACATGAGGAAAACCTATAAACAAATCCATCAGTTTGGCTGATGTGCAGTATAAATAAACAGGAGCACTTGGGAGGAGCAGGGCATCCCTTTGTGTTCTGGAAAGGTGATGCAGAGCTGCCCTGCCTCTGCCATTTCTATCGCACAGTGACTGCTTCACAGATGCTCAGCCCCCAAAAAAGCTGAAACAAATGTTCTACTGTCTGCCTTCTGTCAGTAGGCAGTGGCAGATGAAAGGACTGCTTTGGTGTTGTCTTCCCAAGATCTCAAGAACAAAAATAGTTGTCCTTCTAGGTTTGGGAGTTTTATTCTGTTTGTTTTGTTGTTTTTTCTTTTTAGTTTTCTAGTATGTATTTGAGATGCGTGTTCCGCCAGGGACCATACTAGATTCTTTGCACAACTTGAATCTTTGATTTCCGTTGTTAATAAATGAGCTTAGTTAATAAGTGAGCTCAGTGGCTTAAGTGCACGTCTGAGCACGCCGCAGAAGCAGCCGCGGCCCTGCGTGCGGGGCGGACGCGGGGCTCCGGTCTGCCCGCCCTCCGGCCCTGTGGTGGGGAGGCCGTCCCGCCATTGGGAGCGCGCCAAAACCTGCCCTTTCCCGCGCTCCGCCGCGCGAGACTTCATGTTTCCCCTGCGAGGAGCCGAGGGCGTCGCTATGCAAATCAGCGGGCGGGACTATGTAAATTTCACTGGGCTCTCGCGGCGGGAAGCGGCGGCAGGTGAGCGCAGGGTCGCGGGGGTTTCGGTGCGGTTCGCTCGGCGCTGCTGGCCGCTGCTGGCCGCTGCTGGCCGCCGCTGTGAGCTGGGGCGGTGCCGGTGCCGGTGCCGCGCGCACGGAGCGGCGGCTCGCAGTGCCCGGGGCCGGCACGCAGCGCTCCGGGGCCGGGAGGCGCTCGCACGGCCCGGCCCGTGGCGACGGGGGTGGTGGCTACGGGGGCTCGGTCACCCACTGGCTCGGCGCTCCCGCCGCCTCCCGCAGCGCCGCCGGGCGGGGAAGGAGCTCGGACGGGTATTGGGGCGTGCGGGGCCCCGGGATTCCTCAAGGACAGAGAGGGCTCGGGGAGAGATCGTAACAAACGGAGGCAGGCACCGACCCGCAGGTAGCCGGTTGTGCCCTTGGGCCGGGACTGTGCAGAGTGGGGACGGGCAGCCCCAGGACAGAGCCCTGGCGGTTCTGTAACAGCGAGGAGCTGTGTGGTTGGGGTCAGGCTGGGGCTGAGGAAAGGCCAGAAGGCGGTGGGCACAGCCCCGGGCTGCCGGAGCTCGGGACGTGCTGGGACACTGCTCTCAGCCGTGGCCTTGGGGTTTGGGTAGTGCCGTGTGGAGCCGGGGTTGGATTCGGTGATCCCTAGGGGTTCCTGCCAACTGCTGTGCTCTTCGTCCATTGGCCGTCGTGGCAAAGCCAGCCACAGACACCAACCACGTGGTGTCAGAACCTGGTGCTGAGGCACAGATCTCTGCCTGGCTCTGCCCCTGAGGACTCCGGCAGTGCCCGGCTTTAGGGCCAAAGGGAGGAAAACTCGGGGAAGTCACAGAGCAGTGAGTGGTGCAGACTGTGCTGTCACTCCCGTGGTGTCACTGCATGTGCTCCTACAACGTCTCAGAGCACACCGTTTCCAGATCCTATCTGAAAGATAAAATCCTTCTGAACTGACTGCCAATTAATCTGCCCTCATTAGTGTAGCTCCAGTGTGTCTCCTAGGAACTCAGCTTTCCGCTCCAGCTGTTGGCAGTGCTCCCCAGCCCCTTCTTGCTGCCCTTTGAGCAGTGTCAGCACTCAGCTCAGCTGATGGCAGCTCCCCTTGTGGGGGGCCCAGAGGCGGGGGTCCCCCTGCATTGCTGTTATCTCCTCTGGACAAGCCCTCCCCACTTCTCCAATGCGGGCTGTGCCTGATACCTGCCCCTGACATCACAGTGGGAGCTGCTGCCACTGCTCACACCTGTCCCCCTCCATGCTCCATGGGATCAGCGCTTGGAGCATTTTTTGGATTCTCAAAGTGTGCTGTGCTCACTGAGCCTTTTGTTCTGCTGCCTGGAGCTGTGGCTGGGCACTGCCGGCCTCCCAAGGGCTCTGCTGTGTGGAATGGCAGTGACCCTGTGCTGGGTGTTCTTTCCTGCAGTGCCAGGACACTGCCTGCGTGCTGCAGCTGTTCCATACCATGCGTGAGCACCATCATGGTGCTTTTATAGTCCTTTTATGTATGTAATTGTGTAAGTAAGCAAGAGGTCGCTCCATCCCCAAGCCAGAAATGCAAACAGCTTGGTTCAGTCTGGTGCAGATGGACAACTTGGCTCCAGGTTGGGATGTTTGAAGGGTCTCTGAGCTTCTCCCAGTGTAAAACACAGGAACACCTTCAATTACAGCTTCCCAGAGGAAAGGAGCCATTCCTGCTCAGCTCTACTCTGGTGTAGGATGCCATTCCTGGGCTGCAGTCCTGGAAAGCAGAGTGAGGTCGGCATGTCCTCAGCTGAGCGCTGGTGGAGGAGCACTGAGGTTTAGTGTTGGGGAGATCAGCCAGGTGCTGACGCCCCATGTGTGCTGTGGGCTTGGGTAAGCCAAGGGTTTGTTGTTGTGAAATGTACATTTAAATTAACTAGTCACAAGATTGTTAGTGAGGTGTGGAAGAAGAAAATACTGTTACAGGCAAGTCCTGTGGCTGGGCAGGGTGGTACACAGCCTGCAGGCTGATGTTAGCAGAGGAGGAATGGCATTTACTGAGTTATGGGGCAGAAGCTCCTGCCTCATCCCTGCAGCCTGGGAAGCAAATGCCCCGGGGAATTCACTGCAACTCGCAGATGTCCAAGCAGAGCAGCATGCAGGGCCATCACATTCTTTTTTTCCCATCTCACAGTCACCAGTTGAGCAGCAGCTGTGATTCCCAGTGAGCAGGGCTCATTTCCTGTGTTGAAGCCCATTAGTCTCAGGCTCGTATCTGCCAGGGCAAGAAGGTTTTGATCTAGACATAAAGCAATAAAAGTGCTTCAGTGGCACCCAGCCTTTGACCTCTTGCTTTTTTGTTTTTTTTTGCTGTTTCAGGGTCTCTTCTCACAACATCCCCGTGCATTCCCAAGATGCAGGCAGAGTCACTCCTTCACAGTGGCTACTTCCACCCTGTGCTGCGTTCGTGGCAGTGCACAGCCACCACCTTCAATGCCTCTAACCTTATCTACCCCATCTTTGTCACGTGAGTGAGCCCTGGTGCTCTGGGCTGGGGACAGACCAAACTCGGGTTGGCTGGGCATAGCGCTACAGGCATGGGCACTCCCTGAGCAGTCAGAGGGGTTGAAACTCCCCAAAAAATTCCCTGTGGACAAGTGTGGGGCAGGGGATGAGTTCTGTGGGCACAGCCCATCTGCAATCTTCCTTCTTACACCGAGTGCTCACATCTCTGTCCCATCTGCCCTCTGCAGTGACAGCCCTGATGCAGTGGAGCCGATTGCCAGCCTCCCTGGACAGGCCAGGTAAGGGCCAGAGGCCACCAGGAGCTGCCTTGCAGCTGGAGATGATCACAGGACACGGGCAACACTCCTGTATTGTACATACTTCCTGTCCTGAGGATCCTCCCAGCATCAAGTAGGGTGGGAACATCCCCCTGCTTAAAGCAGGGAAGGAGAGCAAAATGGGAATGCTGGGTGGTGGCAAGGTCCCATTGGGCACACAGAGAAGCTGGAAGAGAACAGGGAAGCCAACAGCAGCTGGATGTGGAGTCTTGTCCTGCATTCAGCCTTGCAGGATGTGCAGGCAGCTCCTGCTGTGTTTGTAAGGTTTGGACAGAGGCCAGAGTGGGATGTTCCCAGGGCAGGGTATGTTGGGCAGGTTTTCCACAGCAGCCATTGCTGTTGGGCAGTGGGAGGTGGGTCAGCATGGGAGGGGCTCCTGGTAGCTTGGTCAGATCAGGACCTTGTTTCTCCCAGCACACAATCTGCTGGTCCTGGGCACTCAGCCATGGTTGTGCAAGCAGAGTGCATACAGGAGAGCCTGAACTCTGTGCCATGCCAGGCACCATGCCCAGCACCCTGCACGCTGTGCTGAGCCCAAGCCTGGCTTGCTCAGGGCTGCAACAGGAAAGCTGAGATAAGGGATCCAAGGGCAGGGCACACTCATCCTTTCAGAGCAGAGACGGCACAAGGCTCCCTGCCTGGTAGATAACTGTGCTGTAGTCCCAGATAAGGACCTGGATTGTTCCTTCCAACAGCGCCTCCCCTGTATCTCCCACTGCTGCTTGGTGTGCGCCAGCATCCAACTTAATGATTAACTCGGGTCCATCCCTGAGTGGCCCAGCAGGCAGGGCCTGGCCAGCAGCTGGGTGCACTGATCAGGTCAGAGGGTTGTGTGCTGGCACTGGGCGTACTCACGGTGTATTTGCTGGATCACAAAGATGTGCAGAGCAGAATGGGCTGCTGGTACCCAAGTGGTTGCTGTATGCAGCTGAGCATCCCTGCCCCTGTACGTGAGCAGCCCCCTCTGCCTTGTGGCAGTGATGCGGAGTCTCCAGATCAGCCTTCAGCATGGCTCCTGTCTAGGGCAGGTCTGGGTGCCTGGCAGCATCACTTCACTTTGGTTTTCTCAGGTATGGAGTCAACAAGCTGGAGGGGATGCTGCAGCCCCTTGTTGAGGATGGTCTGAAGTGTGTCCTCATCTTCGGGGTGCCCAGCAAGGTCCCCAAGGTCAGTGTGCATGAGCAGGTGGTGGCAGGGGCCGCAGAGTGGGGGAGCACTGTGGGGGTGGAGGGTCTCCCAATAAAACACAGGCAGTTTGGGGTTGTGGCAGCCCATTCCACAGAGCAGGATGGGAAACTGCAGCAATACCCAGGATGCTCCCAGTAGCTCTGGGTGCCTCTGCTATGTTTCTCTGTATGAGTGGGAGATAAGATGCTCTACATTTTAGAGAGCAGCACTGAAGCTTGAGAAGAGCACATCCTGTGCTGCTCCTCCTGACCCAGTCTTGCACTGGGAGCTGTTGCAGGGAGGCCCCAAGATCTGTGCTCATTTCGGTCTCGCTGCTCTGTCACCCTTTTCCACAACTGGTGATCACACCACTCTGCAGTATGAGGTCTATAGTTCAAGAACATACCTGCAGCCACGGAGGAACTGATGGGAGGCCCTTAGCTCTATGTGCCCAGTCCCTTCTCTTCTTGCAGGATGAGAGAGGCTCTGCTGCAGATGCAGAAGACACACCTGCCATCCAGGCCATCAGGAAGATCTGCTCCACATTCCCACAGCTGCTCATTGCCTGTGATGTCTGCTTGTGTCCTTACACCTCCCATGGGCACTGTGGTGAGCACACAGCATGGGGGCCTGGGGTGCTGTTCAGGCACCTTCCTCTTACCAAGACTCCCAACTCCTTCCCCACTGTTGTTCTGAACATCTCTATAGCTTGTTACAGAACTCCAAGGATCGAGGCCATCACCTCGCTGTCGTGCCCCTTGCCTGACTCATTTTTTCTTGCAGGCATCCTGCGGGAAGATGGCACCATCCAGAATGAGGCTAGTTGCCAGCGGCTAGCAGAAGTGGCACTGGCTTATGCCCAAGCAGGTGAGCAGTGCCTAGCAGCAGCAACCACACATTGTTCTTGTCACCTTGCCCCCTCTCACTTATAGTCAGCCCAAAAGCAAACCGTGCCTGGCTCCAGTGGGAGAGCTCCCACTGAGCTGGGGAAGCATCCACCTGCCAATCCTGGAGGAGCTGCAGGGACTCCAGACACCTCCTTCAGTCCTATGAGGGAGTTGCCCAGGGTCACCTCCTCCTGCAGGCAGATAGAGCCTTGGGTTTGTTATTTCTGGCCTTCCCCTGCAGGCTGCCACATCATTGCCCCTTCGGATATGATGGATGGACGCATTGCAGCCATAAAGAAGGCTCTGATCTCCAACGACATGGGCAACAAGGTGAGCATGAAATGTGTGTGCCATGGGAGCAACCCCAACGGGGTGGCTGCACCTGGAGCAGCCTGGGCACAGAGTGGAAGAGGCAAACCTCCACATTGTTCAGGATATGCTGCAGGCATTTTCCTGCCCTAGTGCATGGAGAAAGGGGAAGTTCTTGGCCAGTCGCGTGGGGCCAGTGAGGCACCAGGCCTCTGGTAGAGAACAGAGGAATGGGACAGAATATAAACCAACTGTAGGAGGGAATTCCTACCACCCTCGAGCTGGGATGCAGCAAAGAGCTCCAGCCCTCACAGCACCACTCTCCTCTGCAGGTGTCAGTGATGAGCTACAGTGCCAAGTTTGCTTCATGCTTCTATGGACCCTTCAGGTGAGGTTCTACAGAGATAGGAACAGCCCATATTTGCAGGAGCAGCAAGGAGGGAGTGCACCAGAGTGTATTTTGGGATGAGCCTTGGCTCAGCAGGTAGAGCTCATCCCAAGAAAGGCCTGGACCCCAATAGAGCTCCTGAAAAACTCAGAAACAAAAGGAAAATATTTAAATCAGCTTTACCCCAACCCTATGGGCATGGGGAGGGCTGTGGGTGCGGAGGGTTGCTGGAGCTGCTCCCCATCCCGAGTCAGATGGGGAGGAAGGGGGAACAGCTCTGGCCACTGGCCCAACCTGGCCTCACACTGAAGGCACTGATCCCTGTGCCCTGCTTGTTTCCAGGGATGCTGCACAATCCAAACCTGCCTTTGGAGATCGGCGCTGCTACCAGCTGCCCCCAGGTGCCCGCGGTCTGGCACTGCGAGCTGTGGTGAGTCCAGCCAGGCCCTGTGGCTCTGTGGGGACCAAAAAACTCATCCATCCAAGATGGCCAAGGGTCCTTTCCCTGCACAAGTCAGAGCCTCGATGACCATCAGCTCACCGCAGAGCCTGAAGAATATGTATAAGGAGCTGGGCACTCCATTCCCCACTGTGACTTGGAGTATGGGGACAAGGGATGAGGTTCCAGGCCCAGTTGTGGGCTCCTGTGGACATCGGGGGCCCCTTCTGTGTCCCAGACTCCTGGGAAAGTAATCACTGGGTCAGAAATTCTGAGGAAACATCCATCAGTTGTGAGCTGCAGGGATCGTATGCATTCTCCCTGCAGGACCGGGACGTGCGTGAGGGCGCAGACATGCTGATGGTGAAGCCTGGGATGCCCTACCTGGACCTTGTGCGGGATGTGAAGGAGCGGGTAAGGCCCGGCTGAGGACACCGGGTGTCCCCGAGGGAGAAGTGGGTTGGGGACAGCGATGGCCCATTTCCAAAACCGGTGGGGAGAGGAGACACTGCACAGTGGAAGAGCTCCAGTCCCTAGGGTGGACAGATGATGCCCGGCTGTCCCGCTGACCCCTGCCGTTGCCTGCAGCACCCCACGCACCCTCTGGCCGTGTACCACGTCTCGGGAGAGTTCGCCATGCTGTGGCACGGGGCACAGGCGGGCGCCTTCAGCCTGAAGGCCGCCGTCATGGAGGCCATGGCCGCCTTCCGGCGTGCAGGTGAGAAGCGGGAAGGCACGGGGCCAGGCTGCCTCTAGCCCCGATCCCCGCCTCCCATCCGCTGTCCTCCCGCAGGGGCCGACACCATCATCACGTACTTTGCGCCGCAGCTGCTGCGCTGGCTGAGGGAGGAGGCGGCGGTGGGGCGGGCCTGAGCCGGTGGACAGGCCGGAAGTGCCGGGGACGCAACCGGAAGCGCTGGGGCGGAGCCGGAAATGTTATGAGCGAAACCGGAAGCTGTATGGGCGGAGCGGGGCTCCTCGGCCCGGCCCCGCAGTCCCGGTCTGGGGCACGGCTTGGGCAGCGGCGCGGCTGGGGCTGAGCGGGGCCGTTCCGCTCCGTCCCCAAATCCCCCCGCCTCAGCGCAGGCCCCAGATCGGGGCTGATATGGCCGTGCGGTGCGTCGTGCCGTCGCCCCCGTGTGTGCTGTAGGTTCCCTTTAATCCTAACTTTGACTGAAGCGATGCTCAGGCTGCGCCTTTTGACGTGGGACGTGAAGGACACCCTCCTGCGGCTCCGGCAGCCCGTGGGGCTGAGTTATGCGGCCGAGGCTCAGGCCCATGGCGTCCAGGTGCAGCCGGAGGCGCTCAGCCAATCCTTCCGTGCGGCCTATAGGGCCCAGAGCCGCCGCTTCCCCAACTACGGCCGGGCCGAGGGGCTGAGCTCCAGGCAGTGGTGGGTGGATGTCGTCAAGGAAACCTTTCGGCTCACGGGTGTGCACGAAGATGCGGTGCTCTCACTGATGGCGGAAAACCTTTACCGGGACTACTGCAGTGCACGCAATTGGGAGTTGCTGCCGGAAGCCGGGGAGACCCTGAGCTGGTGCCGCCAGCACGGCTTCCGCATGGGCGTGGTCTCCAACTTCGATAACCGGTTGGAAAGCATCCTGGTGCAGTGCAACCTACGGCACCACTTCCACTTTGTGCTCACCTCTGAGGCTGTGGGTGTTGCTAAGCCAAACCCGAAGATCTTCAAGACAGCCCTATGCCTTGGTAGGGCACTGCCTGAGCAGGCGGCCCACATTGGGGATGACTACAGCAGGGATTACAGGGCGGCACGGGAGGTAGGCATGCACAGCTTCCTGCTCCACACCCCTGGGCAGAGCACACAGCCAGAGGTGCCGCCGGGACACATCCTGCCCACACTGAGCCGTCTCTTGGCTGTCATTGAGAAGGGGTAGCAACAAGAGCTGCCCTTTGGAAGAACCAGTGCTGCTGCTGAGTGGCAGTCCGCTCCTGGACCGTGACTTCTTGCTGCTGTTTGGGGTAAGGAAAATAAATGAGCGCTTCTGAGCATGGGGAGAGGCCCTGCCCACATTGCAGGAGCAGCATTCAGGCAATAAAGTGTACCTGGCACACACAGCATTTGTGCTGTTTTCTTTCCAAGTGCTTCGTGTGGGGTGGGGCCTTCTGCTGCTGGAACTGGGGAATGTATCAGGGTGCAGCACAAAGCATTTCACTTACACTCATCCACATATGTTGCACAAGTTAATTCCATCAGGAGGGACTGATAGTTACCTCTTCTTAGTCACTGATTCCTGCAGAGCTGTCTGGGGACAGGCTGCCAGCAGAGCAGTCACTGCGCTGTATCTGCACACTTGGTGGACCTCAGGTTTGCCACCTCAACAAGAAGTTCCCTCTGCCCTGGAGCTGTAGATGGCAGCAATCACAGCCCTCTTGTTATGGGCAAAGTGGTCTGGAGATGCAGAATTTTGCTTAGTGTAATTTACTGCCAGCAAACTTAATTACTGTTTTGGATATTGAGAAATAGAATCACAGAATGGCCAGGGTTGGAAGGGACTTCAAGGACCATGAAGCTCCAACCACACGCAGGGCCATCAACCTCCACATTTCATAGCAGCACAGGCTGCCCAGGGCCCCATCCAACTGGCCTTGAACACCTGCAGGGATGGACGGGGCATCCACAGCCTCTCTGGGCAGCTGTTCCAGCACCTCACCACTCTCTGTAAAGAACTTAAATAAATAAAGATGATAATTTTTAAACACCAAGGAAATGCATTTCTTTCCTTCACCCAAGCTCAGTGTCAGTCCAACACCTCTTTTACTATCAATCAGCTGCTTGTTTTCACTGTAATATGCTCAACCTTGCCAAGCCCCAGGAACAAACAGCTCCATTCAGGTCAATGCTAATGGCTCCTCTCTTGCTGCTCCTCTGCTCTGGGAGATGCTGATGGTCCATGAGGGTGCCCTGCCCAGTGTGGGTTCTCACATGGGTGACAACCCCAATTCATGGTGTCCCTCCTCCCACTAGGGCTCCTCTTTCCAAGTGTTCCTACAGCCTTCCATGCCTTCTGCCACTTCTCTTTCATTTCTCCAAACAGCTCTTAACCTTTAGGCAAGATTGAAATAATTTTAATTCCTGCAGCATGGAGCGTTTTGTTGCCTGTGTTCCTCTCCATTGGAGCTGGAAAGAAACCCTTGTCTTGAAGAGGATTTAAATGATTCACTCACAGAGGACTGGCAGAGCCAGGTGTTAAACACTGATCCCATATCCCAGCTTTCATAATTTTGCTCTCCCCACCTTGCACTCCCAGCTCTGCTGAGCAAACTGTGGTGTTGTTGCCAAGGTCTTCCCATACTGAACTGGGCTCAGTGAAAGCTCTGCTTCCTGCTGCAGCACTTCCCAGCCCCCCTCCCAGCCCTGAGGACTCCAACAGCATGGGAGCTGGGGAGAGTTCACAAGAGTCTTCAGAAGGCACTGTGCTCCTGTGGGAGGTGCTTGGGGTCTGATTTGACCTTTTCCAAAGGTCCTGGCTCTGGGTCCTGGAGGGCAAACATCACGTGCTCGGCAGCCTGAAGGAGATGAAAGCCATTGTAAAACAAGAGAACAGATGTAGTGGCTGAAGGCAAGTCTTTTCTGATCACTGTACATGCTGGTAGCCCGCGAAGGCACTGTGGTGTATACAATCACTGTCCATACAGCCCTATGTTTGCAGCCCACCTCTCTCACCGGCTGAGCGAGATGCTCTGGTGTGCCACCGCAAAGACGGGGTAGAGTGGTGCTGCAAAGGCCTCCCGGTGCGAGAAGAGGATGGTGCAAGAGTCGGGGTCGTAGAAAAGCACCTCCCCTCCCGCAAAGTCAACCAGCACACCGATCTCAGCCGGGGCCCTGAGCAGCTCCACAGGCTGGGGCTGACCGGCATGCAAGAACCTGAACTCCTTGTCGTAGCGTGAGAAGACCCAGGAGGCAGCATTGAAGCCCAGGCGGGCCTCATTGCCGGGCCCCTTCCGTGGCAGCGAGCCGTAGCACACCCCCAGCTTGTAGGCACAGCTCTTCTCCACGCTGACCTTCCATGCGTGGAGCCCTGTGTGAAAAGCCACAGCAGCCAAAGCGTTGGGCCAGTGGTCAAAGCGCTCGGGGCCATCCAAGTCCAGCTTTGCTTTCTTGGGGCTGAAGGTCAGGGTTTTCTTGTCTTCCGACAGGCCTAGGTGGGGGCTGACGGTTTTCTCGTCTATGCTGATTTCCTGAGAGCCTGGGAGAGAAGCACACAGTGAGCACATGGAGGGCCTTCACCGCCCCAAGAACCCACAGCGATGGGTCCAAATGCTCCCCACGGTGATAAGGGCAGCAATTGTGTTGCCACTTCCCAGAGTGGTGTGAGAAGGGATGGAAGGAGACAGCTCAGAGCCACGGGCCAAATCCAGCCAGGAATCTGCACTCACTGCACCAGAACACACCTACAGCAACGGCCTGGGGTTCCTGTCCCATACAGACAGGCTGCCAAATAGTGTGAAGGAGAGCAGCGATCCGAGCAGGGACTGGGTGTAATTCCTATCCATGGCAGGGAGAAACCCAAACCCAAACCCTGTTCCTGCAGACTCCCTGCTCCTTCTCCCCAAGGTGAGCTAGGAGCCTACCAGGAAGGCACTTGCTTGGGGAAACCAGCAAAGCTGGTACTGCTGGGACAAGGAGGGATGGGAAGAGGAAGTCCCTTCCCTGCTACAAAGCACGCTCAGCCCAAAGTTCATCAGCTCAGAACAGTCCACCAGTCCTGAGTGGTTTGGAACAGCCTCAGGAGGTGGCACCAGGAATTGCATGAACCACCGCTCATCTCTTTTGCTGTGATGCAAGGACAGGTCCTTCATTCACAGCACAGAGGCAGCACCCAGCCCTGTGGCCCCCACACACTCTCCCTGTGCCACCCTTCCTCCACACACACCTCAGCAGCCCACAGCAGGGTGTGAGCGCTGAGTAACTGCACAAATATTTCCCCAGCCCTGTAAATCTCTAAGCGAAGGGGAAAGGCTGCTGCCCACGTGACTCACCTCTGCCTGCTCCCAGGAGATGCAGTTTCCCTGTCCAGTGCTTTTCCTTGCCCTGCTTTCCCCACCCTCTCTCATTCATTTTCTGCCTTCAGCTGATGCAGAAATGGGGCTGGAGCAGGTGAGCCTTTTGCTGTGCCACCCCACACCTCGGGGCTAGGCTGTAAGAGGAGCTCAGCCACACAAAGCCCATTCCTGCTCCATCAGCCCCTGCCCAGCATTCAGCACCTGGCAGGATGAGGCCCCAGATAACCAAACCACTGGGCTGCCACTCCAGAGACACGATGGAATGGGCTGAGATAAGCTAATAAGTCTGCTCAGTAGGTTTGTGTTAATCACAACACACTTTACTGCATGGAAAAAGCAGTTCCTATTTTCCAGTCTCACTACTAAAACCCTCGCAGCCCAATGCAGGCATCAAGTTAGTGCAGGCCCCTTGGGCTCAATGCTCAGCCCCCTCCCCAGGAGGACCAGAGCCCTCCCAGAATGCTGCCAAGGGCTTTATGGGACTTTGTGTCTTAATGCAAGCTGGGGCTGCTGCAGCTAATATTACATTTGTAAAGCTATGTCCTGGGTGGACTATGGATTAGTGAGACAAGCAGGCACCCTATGACATTGTTGTGTGAAATCCAACCACACACACAGAAAGCATCAGAGTGAAATTTCCATGTAACGTGTGCAGCTACAAACCCAGCACTGTGATTTGGTGCCTCAAGGTCCTCACAGCTGGCAAGGATGGGACTGGGAAAGGAATCCATAGGAAAACCACATCACAGCAAAGGGAACTAGAGGCTGACTTGGGAAAAAATCTGAGAACCTGCTCAGCTTTGCCAATAGCAACTGCAGCATTTTGCTGAATTAATCTCAGAGGCGGAGCAGCACCAGAGTTTGCAGCAGAAGACACAAACATTGGCACTATCTGCCACACAGCTGACACACAACCTTAGAGTGATACCAGTCAGAAGCACATGCACTTGCAAGGGATCTGGGGAGCACTCATCACCACCAAGAGCGAGGTGAGCAGAAGTCAGGAGTTATCATGTGAGCATTGGGAAGATTACCCCAGGGAGGGGAGATGGGCACCTTTTCAAATTGTGAAGGATGTCACCACTTTTGAGGAACAAGAAATACATTTGAAATGCTCTAACAACATCCCGGGAGAGCAAACATTTCACAGTCGGCCATCCAAGCTGATCGTTGCCAGATGAAAACCACTCCTGCTCAGAGCTGCCACACCATCACTGCTGCCCCGTCACACCAGGACATGGCTCCCCAGGCTCACAGCCACCCACAGCTGCTCAGAGCCATTGATCAGAGCCACTGCCTGAATTCCCAGCCCTGAAGCTGTTGCTGCCCACCCGGTGAGCCCCAGGGAGCACACGGAGGTGAGGCAGCACAGGGGGACAGGAGGTGCCAGGTCCTCCAGGGGGCAGGACACAGCCTCAGGGCGGTCACACTGCACCCAGGGCTTTATTGGGGTGCAAAATGAGCTTGCAGAAATCCAAATCTGAGTAGGACACTGACCTGCCATACAGCAGAGAACGGCAGAGGCCCACAGCCGGTGCAGCAGCGGACTCTGAACACGCTGCTGATTAAAGTTTAACTTGGCAGACTCCTGTGGCTCTAAGATTCCCTCTGCCAACTCTGTCCTAGCAAAGAGACACAGCAGTTACTTTGAAATCAGGTAATTAATTGACAGTTGCTGAGAGGTGGTGGCAGAGGTCTGGGGGAAGGAGCAGAGAAACATGAGCTGGAGGAGTCACCAGAGTGGCACTCACTGCAGGGACACTGCTCTCCTCCAAAGCAATACTTTTGGTTGGTTTTCATCACAGCCCATTCTGAAAGGACTTCAGCTTTAAAACACAAGCCTGCAGCCTGAGTCAACAGCTTCCTCATGCAGCACATGCAGGTTACGTGCAGCCGAGACCAGCCATCAAGATACAAGGGGAAAACAATGGGCGGGCTGCAGGGAGAGCATGGGGTTTCCCTGTGAGGTTTTCTGTGGACCAAGCCTAATTGCTAGAGCAGAGGAGTGAGCTGGGACTGCAGATCCCACGTAATGAGGTTAAGGACCTGCTGCGTTCCTGCAGCCTTCAGCACACATCAGCTCATCTGGTGCTGGCAGCACGATATGCTGCACATTGTGCAGCGGGTTTATTGTTCTCTGCAGGAAGGCTGCAGGCAGGAACAGCAGGCCAGCTCCTCAGGTGGGCGATGTGACCCTGCCTCCAGGGCAGTGCTGTTTTCTGAGGGGCTGGAGGAAGTCTCCTGCCAGCAAGTGCCAGAGCACCTGTAGGTGCCTGCAGAGGGGCACTGCACAGCCTGGCCTCCAGCCCTTCCGAAGCAAAGACCAGAGGACACATGAGAATCTCTGTTCTCTGTCCTTCTCTTGGGAACAAGGGAGGGAAGAGCAGAGCTGTGGCGTGCTGCCCACTGGGGGAAGGCAGGAGGTGCTGGGCAGGCTCAGAGAAGGGGTGAGGAAATGCAGGAGCAGGCAGGTACTGACCTCTCGAAGATCTCTTGTTCCGCGTTCTGGGGACAAAGAGAGAAAAAGTCAACACAGCTGAAATTCCCACAGAGAAAATCCCAAACTCAGGCTGGGGCACAGCAAACCAGGGACCCAGGGAGCACCAGTCTCCTTCCTGACCCACAGAAAACACCCCCAACCACAGCCATGGCCTCAGCAAGCATCCAACATCCATTTACTTTGGCTGCGGCACTTCTCACTCCTTGCCTCAGAAAATGAATGGGAATGGCTGAGGATGCTGCATATTCCCTGTACCTACAGCTCAGCTCTGCCAAACTGGCAGGTGGCAGCGGCTCTGGGGCACAGCACGGGGCCCTCCAGACAACCTGCAAGCTGTGGGGAGCAGGAGACAGCAAACACAGCTGGCTCACCTGCTGCAAGGGAAACACGAGGGAGACCTACAGCAGGGAATCACAAAGCAGCAGATCGGACCCCTGTCCTTTGGTACACACCAGGCTGGATGCGCCTGGAGCCTCTTACTGCTGCATCCTGCCTTGCCCCAGGTGAGAAAACCCCAGCCCTGTCTGTCTGTCAGGTTCTGTCCTGTGTCCCTCCCTCCTCCCCACCTCTGGGGCACTGTAGGAGCACCCTGTGCTAGCAGCCAACAACCCTAAAAGCCTTCAGTAAAGGTGCTGCAAGGGTTACAGACCCTAAGGCAAAAGGCAGACAATGCTGTGAGCAATTCCACTCCTCCCTACAACTGCTGACACTGGGCCCTTCTCTGGTGACATCAGTTAGCAAATCAGTAGCAGAAATTCAGAGCCCAGCTCAGAGCTGCAGGGTTCACTATGTGCTTCTCAGTTTGCCAGGAGATGACACATATCAGTTTGTAATAAATACCAACACCAAGCACCCAGGGTGGAGAATTTATGAATGCTATTCCCCTTCCTTTACTTGGCAAAAGGAGAAATAAAAGGGCCTTATGGCCTCTCTATCAGGTTAGATATGATGAGCAGCAGCTAAGAGCAAGCAGGAGGTGCAGTGCCTTCCTGCCTGCATCTAAAGCAAGAGAAGCCGATTAGTAAAATGCAGTTCAGCAGCTGGAAAAGCAGCTGAGCAAAGGGAAGCAGACACTGCTTTGTATGGCTAATACCTCAGACAGAGGTATATGCTGCACAACAGGATGGACCTCCAAGAAGAGCTGCAGGTGCTCCCAAGGAACATATTTTTATTAATAGGGCAGCAGAAAGCTGACAGCCCAGTCCAACCTGCACCAAGTGGGCAGCATCACACCCACCTAGAAACCCGGGGGGATTGCTGGGATCGCCTGAAGCCCAATTCCAGCTGCCTGCTGTCACTGCACAAACTAATCAACGCCATAATTAAGTCTGAGCATCCGCAATGAAAAACCAAGGCTGTTTCTGGGCAGCTGGGCCATGCCTTGGTTCGGGGGGGGCACTCACCACCAAGCCCTGGTCGTCCAGGTTGGTGATCGTGTCCACCAGGTACGTGCGGAGGGCAGACAGCTTCTGTAGTGCCTCCGTCCAGTGCGCCTGCTGTGTCAGGATGCTCTGCTGCGCCCGCTCCTCCTCGGCGTGCACCTCCTCCAGCAGCCGCTGCTCCTCGTTCTCACACACCTTCCCCAAGAAGATCAGTCTCTGGATGACCAACTCTCGTGCGCTGTTAGCAGCACTCTGCAAGGAAAGGAGAGAGGAGAAACAGCTGCAACCCAAATGAACACCCACAGCCCCCGAGGGCTCAGCTGTTAACTGAGCCCGAGCCACATGGTGATGCACACAGAGGTGAATGGGTTAACCAACCCCCAACCTGCTGGCTGCCTCCTGGCCCAACCAGCACACAAACTAATTGCACACTGACCACTAACCACTGCAGCATGGAAGCAACAACCACCTGCTCTGCCTGGGTCCCAAATGCCAGCCCTCCTCTGAACTGCCAGGAATCAACATCAGCAAAAAGCAGTGCTGACCACGATAGCTGCCTTCATCTTCAGGGTCAGCAAAGCACAAAGCAGAGCAGGGAAGATGAGGTGCCAGCCCTAGCTGGAGTGACCACATTGCAGCCTTTCAGTACCTAAAGGGAGCCTACAAACAGAAGGGGATTCAACTCTTGGAAAGGGTAGATAACAGCAGGACAAGAGGAAACAGTTTTAAGTTCAAGGAGGGAAGATTGAGGTTGGATGTCAGGGGGAAGTTCTTGACAGAGAGAGTGGTGAGGTGCTGGAACAGGCTGCCCAGAGAGGCTGTGGATGCCCCGTCCATCCCTGGAGGTGTTCAAAGCCAGGTTGGATGGGGCCCTGGGCAGCCTGTGCTGCTATGAAATGTGGAGGTTGGTGGCTCTGCGTGTGGCAGGGATTTGGAGATTCACGATCCTTGAGATCCTTTCCAATCCTGGCCATTCTGAGATTCTAGCGTGATGTTGGATGGCTGCCCACCAACACCTGTGTGCCAAGGAGCCCCGGGACCGGCTTTGCTCCAGGACAGGGCAAGGACTTACCAGCACACCCTGGCTCCTGGCGGGCAGCACCTCGTCCACGTGCTTGGTGATAGCAGCGCTCTGCAGCTGCAGCCGCTCGCATCGGTCCACGAGTTTGTTCTGGAACGCGGAGAGCGGAGCAGCGCTCAGGCCCGGCACCGGCGGGGCTGGTAGATCCGGGACATCCCTGCCGCAACCCCTCCGCCCCCCCTCACGCACATAGCCCCATTCACTCCCACCGGGCCCCCCGCAGCCACCCGCAGAAATCTCAAGCCGGAGGGAGGAAGGCAGACCTCCCCACGCCTGACCAGGCGCAGGCCCGGCCCGCAGCACCCCGCTCGCCTCCCTCCCGCGGCGAGGACCCCCGGCGTTCCCCCGCCCGCTCACCCGCAGCTCAGCCGCCCTCTCGGGCAGCGCCCGCGGCTCCGCGCCCCGTCGGGCCATGCTGCGTGCGCGGCGGCACCTGCCGCAGGTGCGGGGAGCGGCGGTACGACGGGGCCGGGCCGGGAGGGATCAGCACCGCCCGCCCCGTCCCGCCCCGTCCCGCCCCGCCCGTCTCCATGGAACCGCAGGGAGCGGGGATACGGAGCGGGGACGCGGAGCGGTGAGTGCGAGGCGGTGCTTCTCAGGGGACGTCAGGTCGTGTGGCTGCGGTGAGGCTGCGGGAAGCTTTGCGTCTGCCGGCATCCTTCGGACGTACGCGAGCTCCGCCGGCGCCGTGGCGATGGAGGAAGGAGTGTGCGGGAATCGGTGCCCGCACGCCGGGGTGCCGCCGTCCCTCGTTCTGTCGTGCGGGTATCGCTGCGGTGCCACTACAGCACCACGGGCAACGGAAGGGCCGGCTTTAAAAAATGATAATCTGGTTTTAAAAGAATGATTCTGGTTTCTGTGGAGCGGTGCGTTGGGAGGACGGGAGATTCCCGGTGGGCGGGGGGTCCCCGAGTGCGGCTCCGTGCTGTGGAAGGGGCTTCGGGTCGTGGCAAACCCATAGGGAAGCTACGAGCAGTACAGCTCCGTCCACGGAGCCGATCGTTCCTTCGGGACCCAGAGGGATCCGCTCTTTGCAGAGGGCAGAAGGACGCGGCCGCTGCCCGGCGCAGCGCTGCTCTCCCTGCAGCCATCGGGGCAGGAAGGATGGATGGCTATGCTTGTGGGAGAAACCAAGGGCCGGAATTTAAGTCAGAGTTTAAGCCTTATCACCTCATGCCGTTTTATTTTGCAGGAGAAATAATTTCCTGCATTCTCTCGCTGTCACGGAAAAACCACCTTTGTTCCCATGTCCCAAAGTGCTTTGATATTCATTCTGATGGAAGGAAATGAATGAGCAGCGTAACGCTGCCCAGAGCTGTGAGCTGGATGGTTCTCTGCACCTTTGGAACATTCAAGCTTGTGGATAGAGAAGGCTGAGATTAGCTGGTATTAGTAATTGCTAATCACAGAGGCTGCCAGGGTAAAATTAGAAAGGGAATGTGTTGTGGAATGTCACCGACCCCTGCTGAGTGCTGCTGGTATGGAGCTTCCCCGTCTCTGGGCAGACTGAATGCATGCATTTTCTTCCAGTAGGAAGTAACTCAACCAATAGAAGTTGGGTTTTCTTCTGACCTTCTGTTGGCAGAATACCTGCCCAGGAGATGGGAGCACTAACGTACGCCTAATGCAGACTAAATCCAATTGGTGTATCTTCATCTGCAGGGAATCCAATTACTGGACTCGGTAATTCGCTGCCATTGAAACGGGTTTATTGGTGGCTGCCCTGTGTCTGTGCCTGCAGGTGGTGTCCATTCGGTGTCGGTGTCGTGCATAGGGTGGGCATCCCCCAGCACGTGACCCCAGAGGAGGGGGAGCAGCGCTTTATCCTGGATGTGTGAGAAACAGGAATCTCTCTGGATCTCTGGCTGTGCTGCATCTCCTCGCAGCCAGCAGTGAGAGCCTGAGCCCGGCGTTGTGATGCTCCATGCTGCTGCCTGCAGCTGATGCTGTGTGTTCAGCGGTGGGATGGGGAAACTGCAGAGTAAGATCAGCTTGCACACGGCCACGTATGGGTAAAGCATCCTCAGATGGTCGTATCTTGGGTTACTAAAGGGGCTGGGTGAGTGGGGAACATTTCAAGCATGTGAGTTTGGTTTCATTACTGAATTTATGGATCAGATCTTCATTTTTGAGCCTTGCTGCTGCCTAGCTTCTTTGGGGGGATGGGATCCAAAATGTAACTCACAGGAGTGGCTGAGCGTGTCGGTGTGACCATTTACACTCCCTGTAAGTTGCTAACATAGAGCTCTGGAGGCCAAATGATCTACCCTTAATCAGGGAGTCATTCAGATTGGAAAAGGCCTCAAGGATCCCCAGCCCCAACCCATTCCCACCACCGACCACATCCCTCAGTGCCACGTCTCCACATTTCCTGAACACTTCCAGGGACCCCCCCACCCCCAGGGCAGTCTGTGCCACTGCCTCTCCACTCTTTCTGATAAGAAATTTGTCCTAATATCTGACCTAAAAACACACTGCTGCTGTCCCTCTGCCGCTTGCAGGGCTGATGGCTCCACGGGAAGGCCAGGACGTGGTGCGGTGGTGGAGCTGAACAGCCCTGCACACAGTGATGCTGTCACCTGCGTGGCTGCTGTCAGACCAGAGCTCTGCGTGTCGGGAGGAAAGGATAAGGTACAATAGAATCAGAGGATCATAGAATCACTCAGGTTGAAAAAGCCCTTAAATATCATTGAGTCCAACCACGACCTAACTGTACTGCCCTAACTATCAACCCTCTGCTAAACCGTGTCCCTGAGCACCGCATCCAAATGGTTTTTAAACACATTCAGGGATGGGGACTCCACCTCCCTGGGCAGCCCGTTCCAGTGCTTAACAGCCCTTTCAGTAAAGAAGTATTTCCTAATATCCAACCTAAACCTACCCTGGCACAACTTGAGGCTGTTTCCCCTCGTCCTGTCACCAGTGAGAAGAAACCAACCCCGCTCTCTCTGTAAGCATTATCAGATATTGGAAGACAGCAATCAGGTCTCCCCTCAGCCTCCTTTTCCCCAGACTAAACAGTCCAGTTCCTTCAGTCTCTCCTCATAGGCCATATTCTCCAAGTCCTTCACAAGCCTTATTGCCCTTTTTTAGACCTGCTCCAGCACCTCCATGTCCTTTCTGTACCAAGGTGCCCAAAACTGGACACAGAACTCCAGGTGAGGCCTCACCAGTGCCAAGCACAGGGGCAGAATGACTTCCCTGGTCCTGCAACCACACCACTCCTGATGCAAGCCTTCTTGGCCACCTGGGCACACTGCTGGCTCACATTCAGCCAACTCTGTACACCAAGGTCCCTTTCCATCAGGCAGCTTTCCAGCCACTCCTCCCGACACCTGTAGGATTGCCTGGGGTTGTTGTGACCAAAATGCAGGACTCGACACTTGGCCCTATTGAAACTCATACAGTTTACCTTGGCCCATCGATCCAATCTGTCCAGGTCCCTCTGTGACCCTCAATAAGGAGGATGTGGTGGGCAGGGTGGGATGCGCTCCGAAGACAGCTGTGCTTGCTGTAGGAGCTCACAAGCAGAACAGTCTGTTCCCTCTTTGGCTCAGTGTAACATAAACCAAGGCTGTGTGTGAGCCCTCTGTGTCCTGTTCCCCTGCCACCGCTGACTTCCTTCCCCTGGCTCTCTGCAGAGTGTGGCTGTCTGTAATTGGAGGTCCGGAGCTGTGCTGGGGCGCTTCATCAGCCATGAGCACGAGGTCACCAAGGTGAGCATCAAGCAGTGCACCGGGAGCAGCAGTGGCAGTCTGGTATCTGCAGGGCGCTCACTCTGCTCTGTTGGGGGCCCTGGCAGCACCCAGCAGTCCCCTGTGCTCCTTCTCACCTTTCATAGCTCCCAGTGCTCACAGTGACATGCAGTGTGCTCGTTTGGGTTTCTCAGAAAGTTTTCTTTTCCCCATAAAATGGATTTTATGAGGATGGAATGGGGGTGAGGTGCAGCATGGTGTCGATTCCAGTGTCTCCTTACAGGAAGTTCTGTCACGTGGGCTTCAAAGCAGGGTTTCAAACGTCACAGTGAGGTGTCTTTGCACCAACAATGTGCTTTGCTTATTCCTGTGAGACCCAGTACAAGAAAAGAATCATTTCTTGCTGTGCTGCCATACAGGGAAATATCTGACCTCACACCATCCAAGCCTCAGCTCAGCAGCTCTGCGTTCACCCAGTGAAGCGGGTTAATCCCTGTGTCTCTGTAGCTGTGCCACAGGGACAGTGATGGGAACTGCCAACATTTCCCTTTTGCTGCTCACCAGGCCCTGCCTGGGGCTGCAGGTACTCCTCATGGTGTGAGTGGCTCCAGGAAGCAGAGCCGAGCTGGGGATCCCTCCAACCTCAGCACTGATCCCTTCTTGTCCGCAATGTCTGTTGTCACAGTGCTGCCATGGGCAGGAAGCAGAGCAGCTGTGCTTTCCCAGCACACAGCCAGGCCGGAGCCCAACCCATTTCTCCATCTGTTCCTCTGCAGGTCACCTGCACCCATGATTCCAACAGAGTCTTCAGTGCATCCCGGGACAGAACAGTAATGATGTGGGAGCTCCACGGGACATCGGGGCCAAGGCAGTTCTTCCCAGGCCATGAGCTGGTTGTTACTGGGCTGGCTGTGAGCCCGGGTGAGGAGCAGCACACTGCTCAAGTGGTTCTTCCTGCTGTAGCATGGCTGTATTTGCATGCTGACTTGCTCTTGCAGATGCGTCGCGGCTGTGCACAGGTTCACGAGACAACACCATTCGCAAATGGGATGTGGAGACCGGAGAGTGTCTGTGCAGAGCTGCTCTCTCCAGGAACCTGGTAGGAGCCTCTGGTTCTTTGCATCCCAGAATGGCAGCTCTGGTCCCTTGCATGCAAAGCCCCAGAGAGTGAATTTGCCTCAAGTTCGGCATTACACTAAACCCCTGAGACACCGTGAAGATGGACTGATGCTTCTGGAGATCAGCTTAAGGCTGGTTTTCCTCTCCTCCAGAACTGCACCTCCAGGAGCACAAAGGCACCCACAGATGTACAGCAATTTATTAATAACCTTTTGCTAAGCAGTGGAGAAAGCGGTGCCTGGGGTACCTCTGTTTCCATGGCACCATGTCCTGCTGAGCTGCTGGTTCCTCCCTGCCTGCTAAGCCCAAATCTTAGCATCACCACCACCTTTCCCTTCCCCTCTACAGGTAACACATCTGTGCTGGGTCCCTGGGGAGCCCTACGTCATCCAGACATCAGAGGATAAAACCATCAGGTAAATCCTTCCAGGCAGCCACAGAGGGGGCCACAAAGATGATCAGGGAGCTGGAGCAGCTCCCCTACAAAGACAGGCTGAGGGAGGTGGGCTCGTTCAGCTTGGAGAAGAGAAGGCTGCGGGGTGACCTCATTGCAGCCTTTCAGTGCCTAAAGGGAAGCTACAAACAAGAGGGGAGTCTTGTTTGGTAGATACAAATAAGGACAAGGGTAGATAACAGCAGGACAAGGGGAAATGGTTTGAAGTTGAGGGAGGGAAGATCGAGGTTGGATGTCAGGGGAAGTTCTTGACAGAGAGAGTGGTGAGGTGCTGGAACAGCTGCCCAGAGAGGCTGTGGATGCCCCGTCCATCCCTGGAGGTGTTCAAAGCCAGGTTGGATGGGGCCCTGGGCAGCCTGGGCTGTGAAATTGGAGGTTGGTGGCCCTGCGTGTGGCAGGGGGTTGGAGCTTCGTGATCCTTGAGGTCCCTTCCAACCCTGGCCATTCTGTGATACTGTGGGAGCTGCAGCCAGGGCCACGTGCTGATAGGTAAAGCAGTGTCAGTGCACAGGGGGCTGTTGGGGTGGTTGTTTTTCCTGTCTTCCTGCTCTCCCCCATCTGCCAGCCTCACGTGTGGCTGGAAGCCATTCCTGGCTCACCTGGGTCTCCTGCTGGGGGAGGACAGCATGGGGGCATCTACAGCTGCAAGCAGCACTGGGCACCGCCTATGGGCACAAAAGAGAAAATTCAGAGCTCCACACAGCTGCCCTGGGTAAAGGCTTGTAGAAAGGAGAGAGGCTGCTCTGTGGTGGCAAAGTGCAGGAGCACAGTGGGGCTGCAGGGAGGGCACCAAGGGCTCCTGTAGCACAGTAATGGCTCCGTGTCCCCATCCCTACTTTTTCTGCTTCCAGGATGTGGGACAGCCGGGAGCTGCAGGTGGCACACACGTTCCCAGGCAAGCAGCACATCCAGACAAGTTGTGATGTGAGCCAGGACGGGCGATACTGTGTCAGCAGCAGCAGCGGATTTTCTGGGGAGGGCTGCGAAGCAACAGTGAGTCTGTAGGGCACCCAGTCCACCTCCTGCTTCTCTCCATCTCCACAGCACAGGGCAGCAGCTCAGTGCTCCAGGGCTCTGCCTGCAGCAGAGCACAGCTCCCACTGCTTTGGCCTTACCTGGAGTCACAGGTTGGGCTGGAGCTCAGTTTCCCCCCCATCTATCCCTTTGTCAGTCTACTGCAGCAGCAAATACCCTTCCTTATTAAAGTGCTGGGATTCTGTTTGCAGATGCACATTTGGATAAATGGTGAAAACCTTTTTGGGGTCTTGAAGTGCTGTGAGATGTGCTCAGTGGCAGGGATAAAGGCAGAGATGTGCTATGAGGATGAGCGAGGAGCTCTGTAACCAAACCTACCTTCCTCTCTCTGTAAAACCTCTCCGTGCTGGCAGGTGGCAGTGACGGCCTGAGCTCTGAGCACTGCTTGTTGCCTTGCAGCTGTGGGACCTACGGCAGACCAGGAGCAGAGTGTGTGAGTACAGAGGGCATCTGCAGACCACAGCCTCATGTGTGTTCCTTCCACGGGGTCCTGCTCTCACCCCCAGCATTGCCACATCCTCATACGACAGCAAAGTGAAGATCTGGGACCGGGACACTGCAGGTAGGCAGGGCACTGCCCTGGGATAACAGACCTGGCTGCTGTCTCCCTGGGGTGATGAGCACACAGCTGTGTGCCTGCCAGCCCTGGGTTTTCACACAGCTGTAGGGCTGGGTGGAGATGAGCACCAGAGTAGTTTGTGTCCATCCTCTGGCAAAGGATGTCTGGGTGCACGAGCCTGGAGGTGATGGGCATCCTCCTTGAACTAACAGGAAGCAATGATGGGATGTCCAAGTTCAGCAGTGAAAGACAAACAGTGAAAATCAAAAAGAACAGGGGAACTCCAGTGCTTTCCTTAGGAGGGGAAAGTCGTAAGGAACACAGGCTGCACTGGAGTGTGGAGGGGGCAGCTGCGACCACCATCCTGAATGGGAATCTCTGCATGCCGGAGGGTTGGCTGAGGGCTGGGTCCTCACCAGAGCCAGACACAAAGCTGCTTGCCTGCCAGGCCCCACTGCAGCACAGGTTTGTTATCTCAGTGCTCAGAGGCAGACAGCGCCTCTGGAGAAGGGTCACAGATGCGCTTTGCACTGAGCCCAGCAAAACTCACTGGCATTACACGTTCACTATGGCTACGCACCTCCCCACTAATTCAAGACAGGATAAAAAACAGAAATGTGATCAACTCCCATGTTAAAACCTCTTTCTTTCCTTCTTTCGCTCACCTTTCCTCTCACCTGGTGTCAGAGTGACTTTTTCTCTTTCCTCCTCAGCCTGCCTTGCCACTGCATGCCTCGAGGGAGCTGGACCGCTGGTCTCACTGGCTGCCTGCGATAGCTCCACGCTGCTCTGTGCCAGCTTTCGCTCAGGGATCCACGTGCTGCAGCTGAGGCACCGTGAGGAGCTGGAGCTGGAGAAGGTGGCAGCATTTTGACCACAGATCCTTCCCAGCAGAGATTGTCCGTGGGGATCTGATCCTCCAATTCTTCCACTGACAGCAGGCACCACTCTCGTGCCTGCAGAGCAGTGACAGCGGAGCCACGGTGCACAAGGGATGTATTGCCTGTTGTTTGCTTGTGGGCTATGGGAAGCCATTAGAGCTGGCTAGAAGAAGAGCTGAATCAGTGATGCTTTCAGGCCAAATTCTCACTGCTGATAAGAGCATTGTGGGCTTTAGTCACAAAATCTCCACACAACCTGGCTGTAAAGGGAGCCAACGGAGGAGAAATGAGCTATGACAAAGCACGTGCCTTCTCTGTGCTGTTTCTCAGGTCTGAGTGTCTGATCAGAGCGCTCCTCCTGCACCAAGAAAACAGCTTTTACTGTGAAAAGAAGGAACAACCAAGCTGTGACTTCACTGCTGTGAGAGGAAACCAGGGATCAATGTCTCCCTGGATCAGATTTAAATCAGCACTGCTAGGTCAGCTCACAGCACAGTGCCTCCAGAGGACTCCAGGGAATGAACAGTGTGTATTTTACCTGCTGTGACACAACTGGCTCCCAGTTCTGCAGCAGGTGGCTCATGTCTGGCCCGTGTGGTCCCAAGCGGCAGCTCTGCAGCATGCCTGGGCATCAGGCAGGGAATGCTCAGCCTCCTCTCCTTGCTCCAGTTTTTCATCCTGCTGCATGGGGCTGAGCGAGTATAAATGCAGTTCACTGGTGTCTAACATTTCATCCTAAGCCAGCTAGAAGTATGCTGCTGTGCCGGGCGGGAGCAGAACAAGCACTGGGTAAGGACTGTCCCATGGGCAGCCTGCTGAGAAACATCCCAGGAGTTTGTTCCTTATGGGCAGGGAGATCCCTGTCTGTGCAGCTGGCAGCATATAAACTCTTCAAATGATACCTGAGAAGGGGCATGAGCACACATAGCTGGATGTTTAGGCTTATACAAGAGAAGACAGCAATTAAATATGGCTTTTGTGCTATTTCCTGGCCTCGAGTCTGTTAACATTTTTCCTGGGAGTAAATAAGACAGAATATGCAGCACTTGGCAGATGCCACCATACTTCTAAGGAAGCAGAGAGCACACAGCTCTCTGTTAGAAGAAAGGAAGTAACTCACACGTGGTTTTTGGATGTCCCCCACTGCAAATGTTGAGAACAGCACTGTGTCTGTTTCCCATGGACAACGGACAGCTGCTCTCCAGGTGACAAAGAAGAGATGACCGTTTTTTTTAGGACGAGGGGAAATGGTTTTAAGTTGAGGGAGGGGAGATTGAGGTCGGACATCAGGGGGAAATTCTTTACCCAGAGAGTGGTGAGGTGCTAGAACAGCTGCCCAGAGAGGCTGTGATGCCCCGTCCATCCCTGGAGGTGTTCAAGGCCAGGTTGGATGGGGCCCTGGGCAGCCTGGGCTGCTATGAAATGTGGAGGTTGGTGGCCCTGCCTGTGGCAGGGGGTCGGAGATTCATGATCCTTGAGGTCCCTTCCAACCCTGGCCATTCTGTGATTCTGTTTTTTCTCCTGGAGATATTTTAAGATAGACTGAAATCAAACCATGAATCACAACACCGCTGTAATTCTTCCACTTCTTAGTCAGACCCAGAAGCAAGTGCACATGTTCAAGCCATGTTCTGATTTTCTAGAACACATCTGAACTTCAGTTTAAAGAATAAACAACAAATAAGAAATTTCCTCACAGTGGAAGTTAGAATGAGACAACCCACAATGAAGCAGCCTTCTTTGCATCATCTTAGGTGAGACACATCAAAACCTTCAACAGGAGATGTGAAACACCCAATCTGTAAAACAGCTCAAGGAGCTAAGACACGAGATGTGCGCTGAAAATTTCTTGGCATTACAACACCCACTGCAAGTGGAAACAAAGCAGATACAGGCATCTATGTTCAGAGACCAACCTGCAGAGGCAGAGGAACTGTGGTACGCTCTCCTCTAACAGCTAACTCTGCTTTATTTTTTGAAGACACAGACTGCTGTTAACAGCATCCTGGAAAAGAGAAGGTAAGAAAACAAGAGAACATACAACAGACCATACATGAAGCGCAGTGTGGCTACCTACACAAGTGTAAAACAGACTGGAGCAAACCTGTGAGCCTGTCCTAGAAGGAAGGTGGAAGAAGGTAGTTCATCTCCAAATTACTGCAGATAACCACTATCTGCAATATAAAGCAAAAGTCCTAAAAAGTGGAAGAACATCATCCCAGCTTTGACTCCAACCAAGCCCTGGTCAGCACAGATGCTTCAAAACTGCCTCAACCAGGAAACCAAGACCAGCTAGTGACCACAGCCACTGTGACACATGTTGCAACAGCCGATTCCTTTCCTTTTTTAAAAATTTAATATATAAAAACCCAGGTCTTAGTTCAAAGGCATTATTAACATTGCTATCCCAGTTCATCAGCAGTGCCTTTGAGCTACTCTGCTGTCCACAACTTGAAGGTTCTGTCATAGGAGCACGTTGCTATCAGCTGCCCATCGAGGGAGATATCCAGTCCCATCACCTTTCCCTCATGACCAGCCAGTGTTTTCAGAGGGGACCAGCCAGGGTGAGTCCAGATCTTTGCGGTGTTGTCGTAAGCGCCCGTCAACAGGAAGTTACCATGATTGGCTGCAGTTGAGGAAAAAAAGGGAGAAATGAGTTTTGCAAATAAACACGTGACAAATCTTCTACCGCTACCCAGTGCAGATCTTCCTGATCTGAGGATGCGTTTTTGAGTTGCCACATTCCCTGCCACCTCAGCAGAGGAAAGGCAGGAATAAGGAACATCAGATAGCAGGTACTTACGTTCAAATTTCACCCCAGTCACCAGGTTCTGATGGGCAGGAATGGTGTAGATGCACTTCCTCTGACGGAGGTCCCATACCTTGCAAGTATTGTCACCACTGCCAGTTGCAACGTGGTATCTGCCAGGAGTCAAGAATGCATTGAAAGCTGAGCTTCGTACTCAGATCTCCCACACAAGGCATGCAAGCTCCTGTCTTACCCATTTGGGGAGAAGTTAAGTCCATAGATCTCCTTCAGGTGGCCTTCCAGAAACATGATACAACGCCCAGTGCGCAAATCCCACACTCGGCCAAAAGCATCCAGTCCACTAAGAGAGAACCCAAACTCCATCACCTCCAGACTTCAGCAGCTGACAGAGCGCCAGTACTGCAGCTTTTGGAGTCAGTGAGCAACAAAACCTTGGTAATGTTTCACATACAGTGAAACAAACTCACCCAGTCCCAGCAAGAGACCCATCCATGTGAAAGGCGATGTCATAGACCCCTTTGCTGTGCCCCTCCTGATGAAGGATCTCTTCCTGGGCTTCCAAGTCCCACAAGCGCCACGAGTGATCGTAACTTAAATTAAAAAAAAAAAAAGCATTAAAACCTGATCATACAATCCTATCTGAACTGGGCGCACACACACACCAGCTGCCAGGACATCCACTTCGCCTGTTTCTTTGAGCATTAGGAAAACACAGACAGGAATGAGACTGTAAACCTCAAAAACTCAGAGATCCTCAGCATACCCCTGGGAGAGCAGGGAGCTTCCCTACTTCTACATCAGCATGGCATCCTTAAACCCTGAAGGGATCACACAGTGCCTCCGTGGGCAGATGAAGAGATGCACCATACAAAAAATACACATGCCCTGTTCAAGTGCCGTTCCCTTTTCACCTGCTAGCATAGAGCACAGATGGCCTGAGAGAGCCACACAAAAGGAAAAGGGAAGAAACAGTTATCACTAACTGCCACAGGATGATTTCATACATGAGCAGAGAATGTTTGGTTCACTTTGTATAATTTCAAAACTGAAGGGAGAATAAGGTGGAACAGCCTCGCTTACAAAGATCACCATCCTCACTGCCAGAGTGTGGGTATTTCACTGAAATCCTCTTAGCAGCAGCAAACATTTCGGCTTCTGGAACTGGATTTTCAGATCACCTTTGTACCATTCAGCTCCAGTCCAGTCCCCCTCTCCTTCAGCACCACTGTCCTCAGCCACCTCCCATCCCACACTCACTCAGGAGGCAGCAGCAGCCACTGGGCTGCTCCTCTGGCAGTTGGAAATCTCCAAGGAGAACACCAAATATTTTATTACCTCAGCATACACTGCTTGCAACTGGCTCTCATGTGAGGTGCAGAGAAAGGAAGCCTTTCATGAATCCCAGTGACTGCAGGTAATAGCATCTTAAACAAAAGCATCAACAGAATCCCCTTACCAAGTAGTGCCCAGGAACCTCCCAGAGGGGTGCCACATCACACGTGCCACTCTCATGCTGTGTCCTTCAATATCTGCCACTGGCTCATCACTGAAAACAAGATCATCAGACACTGGTCAGGGTGGCTGGCTCTAGCCAAACCTTTGCAGCAATGAGCACAGTGAGACGGACTTTAATACAAGCCAGACAAGAAAGTCAGTGTTGACTACTGACTCTAAATGCTGCTTTTTGCTCACAAAGCTGAAGCTCTACGTAAAGCCCTTTATCCACATTCATAACTTCAGTAGTAAGTTCTCCTGGAACAGTTTCAAAAACTGACAACCTGAAGGTCTCAACAGCAGAAACCATCTTTGCTGTCACTACGCAGAACATCTAATGCTGCAGCAAACTCTGCTATGCTGAAGATAGCCAGGGCAGGCAGGACAGAGCAAATATTTATTCTCCCAGAGCTACGTGCTGCAGCACCTCAGCAGCCTGTAGTGGAAGACCTGAACAGCACTGACAGTATCCTTCCAGCAGACTAAAGAGATGTGGTCACATGAGACTAAGGAACAATTGTTGCCTGGCACAAGTATGCTTCTGCAATTAGAAACAATAGCTTTTGGGTAGGGGTAATGAACTGAGGATCTCACAGCTGCCTGCCTTTTCCTGAGGCACTGCAGCATTCCGCTTTTCAAACACAGCAGATATTAATGCTGAAGAAGGGGAATTCTCTCCTAAATGAAAGGTCAGAATAAAAGCACCTCCAGATCTTCCACCCGTCACTCAACTGCATCAGCAGGTTGCTAATGCACAGCAGCACACTGACTAAATTCCTTCCAGACAATTTCCCTTGCCTCGTTTCCCCTAATCAGGGCGATGTCTTTGCCTGCTTAAGAAGGAGACACACACTGAGGCTGGGAATTGCACTGGTGTTGTAATAACAGGCCATGTTTGCCTGAAAGTAAATGCCCACTGTTTCATAAGGTAAGCCCCCAAGCAACAACACTGCATCTGTGTGTGCTCTGTGTGATTCTGACCTTTCAAGGCTCCAGAGTTTGACAGAACCATCAGCTGCACACGAGGCCAAGTTGACGTCCTTCTTGTCGAGGGAGACGGTGGCTTTGGGATGGAAGACTATTGCTCCTACATTGGTGCTGTGTCCTTAAGAGGAAAGAAAATCAAAATCCATAATCTTCCAATCTTGACCAAGTCTCCAGAAAAGGA